GCATTCACATTATAATTAGATCCTACCCCACGAAGCTGGGGTATGACAAGTGTCTACGGAGGACGCCAATAGTTCAATTTGAAGAGATGCACGAGTTGGACTGCACGTGGTCTGTTGCTTTGGCTCTGACACAAATGGGAAACAATCTCCGGCAGCACAACAGATCGAGCTGAGGGTTGACGGTCGTACACTTGTGACGTGTCTGATCTTGGCTAAATTGTAGGTGACGACTGACCCGTGTCTTGCTCAGAACTGTCTGCACTCTCGGGCAAGAGATGCATTGGTCTACCACCAGGTCTATTGTACACTAGCTTCCGACATTCACACCACTCTTGGTGATACTGATTCTGTTTTACCTTGGTTGGTCAAGCACACGCTGTTGGCCCTCTACCCTCTGTGTTTACTCCGAAGAGTCCATACAATCTGACAGCAACATCAAGGTAGATATAGCCTCACTGCGATAGACATCAAAATATTTGCGCAGCTTCTATCTATCCCCTGATGATGGAGCAGGCGGCGATTGAAAACTCTGTAGTAATAGAGGATGATGATACTTGTCACAGGCCAGGCTTGACACTTCTAGGACTCATCAGGGAGACACAAATCCTGTATGACAACCACGTCAGGCGGTTGCACTTGTTCCTGCTAGTATTAAGGGTGCGGGTGAAGTAACTTGGACCGTTGGGTCGAGGTTTCGCTTCCTCTGCCAACGACTAGCGTTATCCAGTGTCCTGGAGGCATGCTATATTCATCAGGAAAGGGTTAAGTATTGTATGATAGGCCATCAAAAAGCCTGCCAAGTGGGTGGCGAATGGCCCTCCAAGTGCAGTCTTTATGTAATAATTCTTGACCTACCAAACCAGGAGTCATGATGCCACAGCACCATACACCCAGTGCTTAAAAAACCATGCAGGGCTGTCCGACTGTGCAAATCATTTTATCTCAAAGGCTGGTAATAGGCAGTGATCTGAAAAGGGATCAGCATATCGAAACACCCTCGGGCCACAACCAGCATACGGACTCTTATCGTTCTTTCACGTACCAAAGCACTTTGTTCAGGACAAAGGCATAAACCGTTCCACTAGGCTTGTTTCAGTCGCAGATCGCATGGTGGCCAATCCCAGCTGGAAGCGCAACTCTTTGTCTGATACCGACGACACCTACCGTGTCGTGCCTGACCATCTCTGTGCTGATCCATCCGAAGATGGAATCCTAAACGCAATATAGCAGTGGGGTCTGCTCCTGAGCGTTCCGCTGCGTCCTCCAGCTGGCCGCGGAAGAAAACACGTAAACTGTTTGGATGATCTGGACGGCCCGCCTGGCTCCATCCCTGGATACCAAATGTCCGTGCCCTTGTCAGCTCTGGAATTCAACGTGGAAATGGCCGAACTGTCTCTGCCTGCCTGCCTGCCTGCCTGCCCCTTTCACAAGCGTGCCAAAACACATCAGACCAGGGGAACCGGATGAGACAACATCCCAGTTCAATTGCCCGAAAAACGTATCGGCATCATTCCCCACAATTCTCCGTATTACAGGCCATAAAGCAAGACGGGGCCGTTCATGCAATATATCTGGTTAATACGGGAAGAGACAACGACCAACCTAGAGCCGATATTCTGGCTTTTTCCCGACGTGCAGGCAACAATCTGGTATTGTTGAAACACACTAGTCGAGCCACCGAGGTAATAGACAGTCCGGATTGCACCGTCTCGAACCTTGTGCGCTGGGACCCGTTGCCGTCGTTCAATGTTCGTATTTGAGCGCCGGAAGATCGGTCTGGATGCGGGACACAAGACAGTATGAATGGCACTGACTGCTCTTTGGTGGCGCCTAACGGCTTGCAAACTCTAGAGTGACGAAGCCTGTAAACCTTGTCTCGCTCCCCACTCTGCTTGGCGTCGGGGTCCAAGCATGAGAGAGCACTTGAGCTCGAGACGTCCAGTCGCGGGCAGGCTGCGTGGCTGAGCGGCTGTGAGATGTAGGCCCAAGGAAATTATTGCTTGAGGGACATTTGACTTTGTCATTGACAGCTGCCAACTGTCCAGTCTTCAAATGTTGTAGTACATACGGAGTAGATTGCAGTAAGTTCTCGAGTGCCCCGTGCCGAGTACTTAAGTACCTAGGTACTTAAGTAGACAGAGAAAGTCACGCCGGCAGCACTTGAGCTTGCCAGCCCTTGGAAGCGCCCAGCTGCGTCCCCATACTCCGTCCTGAATCTGTTCTTGGCATGCTAGTGTCCTGTGGCTCCCGTCCCTACCTGACCGTCCGCACCTTCCATGGTTCGTTTCCTAATAATCAATCAATCGAGCGCATTACTCCGAAGTACCTGGTAAAACTTAATTACAAGTACTTCCTTGTACCTTCGATCGCGAACGCATATATCGGTATCGACACTATTAAGTGAGGCACCTAAGTTTAAGTACCTACCTAGGTAGGTACCTAAGTAGGTATTTATTACTACTTTAGGTACTTACTTTCAGTAAGTCCTTGTACCTTAAGTATGTTTTGCTCTTGACCTGTGCTGTCACACGTTCGCATTTTCACCTGCGATCCTTCTGAGACTCTGCCTGCTACTTTATCCTCCTCTGTTCTTCTTCTTCTTCCCCCTCCTCTTCTTCTTGCTCCTTCTCCATCTTGGCGACGGGCTGGCTTCTCGAATGCCATGTTTTTTTACCTATAGCTAGTCTTTTTTTTTATCTTTCAAGTTGGCCACGGTACTATTCGTTACCCGATAAGCCTGGCCTGCGGACCTGCGGACCTGCATCCCTGAGGGACCAGTTTTCGAGCTAACAGACCCCTTAGCCTCCTCGCTCCCATCCAACCCGTCCCAAAATTCGAAAACCTCCCTACTCCTTCATCCTCCGAGTCGCTGGCAATTTTGAGGCTCGAATTCGTGCCACTGATTTCTTATCCGGTCGAGCCTGAAATCAGTCACGGGCACCCCGTGGCAAGTCATTCACCATGGTGGCTGGCAACGCGCGCTACGTTCGCTACATCATCATCGCCGTCTTTGTACGTTGTATGACGTTTGATTTTCTGATTTTTTTTTTCTTTTCTCGTGCTCTCGTTTTACCCTGCACCTGCACTAGTTGCTAACGCTTGATTCATGTTTCTAGACTCTGGCAGTGTTTTATTTTGTTTCCAACTCAAAGTACGACGCTGTGACCATTCCAACGGGTTTGGATCATGCCAGCACGAATACCAACGCTGGCAAATCAGACGACCCCAGAAATGAACCTCAACAACCCCTCGAGAAACCCGAGAGCTCCGATAACGCTGCGACCGTCCCGAAGAAACAGAACGGAAACAATGCGCAATCCCCGCTTGCTATGACACCAGAAGATCCCAATTGGGATGTTGAACTGGTTTCTCCTGCTCCTGGACCTCGCATGAACGCCACCTTCGTTACTTTGGCTCGCAACAGCGACGTGTGGGATATTGCTCGCTCGATCCGCCAGGTCGAGGACAGATTCAACCGCCGATACAACTATGACTGGGTCTTCCTCAACGACAAGCCCTTCGACGAAACCTTTAAAAAGGTCACCACGTCCCTGGTGTCCGGCAAGACGCACTATGGCGAGATCGCCGAGGAGCATTGGTCATTCCCCCAGTGGATCGACCAGGACAAGGCCAAGAAAGTGCGCGAGGACATGGCTGAGCGCAAGATCATCTATGGTGATTCCGTGAGCTACCGCCACATGTGCCGATTTGAATCCGGTTTCTTCTTTCGACAGCCCCTTATGATGAACTACGATTACTACTGGCGTGTTGAGCCATCTATTGAATTGTACTGCGACATCCACTATGACCCTTTCCGCGTCATGCATGAAGGTGGCAAGAAGTATAGCTTCGTTCTCAGCTTGTACGAATACGCAGAGACCATCAAGACTCTTTGGGACAGCACCAAGAAGTTTATGAAGAACCATCCCGAACACCTTGCTGCGGATAACGTTATGGGCTTCCTCAGTGACGATGGCGGAGAAACATACAACAACTGCCATTTTTGGTCCAACTTCGAGGTCGGCAATCTGAACTGGCTCCGAAGCAAGCCTTACATTGACTTCTTCGAATCTCTTGACCGTGACGGTGGCTTCTTCTATGAACGATGGGGCGATGCCCCAGTTCACTCCATTGCAGCTGGACTCTTGTTGAACAAGAGCGACATTCATTTCTTCAACGACATTGCCTACTGGCACGTCCCTTTCACTCATTGTCCTACTGGCGAGAAGACCCGATTGGCTCTCCGATGTCACTGCAATCCAAGCGACAACTTTGACTGGAAGGGCTACTCTTGTACGTCTTGTCGGATCTATCTTAAAACACTGCTTGCTAACCACACATCCAGGCACTTCACGATTCTTCGACGTCACAGGCAAGACCAAGCCTAAGGGTTGGGAGAGTGAGAAAGATTGAGATGTGTAACCAACAATAAAGAGAATACTTTTTAGACTTGGTACGTAAGGACGCGTAGTATGTACCATACATGAATAATATGAAGGGAGGGTATGGCCGCGGTTTGGCTACAGAGGTCTTTCTTCCACTATTGCTGGCTTTGTTTGGCGCGGGAAACATTGAAGCTACATGGGTAGGTAGTCAGGGGCTTTATTGAAACGCACGATGGGATGACCTTGAAACTGCGAGTGAGAAACAAGCTTGAAGAGACCAAAAAAGGGAATGAACGGGCGTCTGATTGTTTTTTTTAAGGGGCAAGACTGGTAGGACACAATTTTACTCGTGTACATTCATGCTGTCCAAAATGAAGATGCTTGGGAAATCTATTTATGAGAGACATGTTTTGTGCTGTCTAGTATTCTTTTTACATGTGCGTGGTATAGTGTACAGTAGCCATATTGGGCGCACGCCATCCCGCCTCACTGGCCACAAATTCGAAAATTTTCTTGTCTGATGAAGTGTCAACAGCCCTTCCCCTTCACATGACGACAGTATTATCTATGCGGTGCCAATCACTCCGTCCATCGCTTGTTCATCCCTTGCTTTCGCTAGCCGACAGTAGCCTTCTTGGGCTTCTTGGTGCCGTACTTGCTTCGACTCGTAGTTCGGTTCGCTACGCCGCCCTATTCGAAAAAATTAGCTCATTGCTCGCCAAAGCCGGCGCCGAAGACAAATTTCCGGCCCAGCACCAGCACCACACAGCTTCTCACGTCTCCCCCCTCCCCGACTTACCAGGTCCAATGCCCCTCGCACCAGGTGATACCTGACACCGGGACAATCCTGCGCCCTGCCTCCCCGCACGAGAACCACACTGTGCTGCTGGATATTGTGTCCCTCGCCGGGAATGTAGGCCGTCACCACGGCCCCGGACGAGAGCTTCACACGGGCCGTCTTCCTCTCGCCCGAGTTGGGCTTCTTGGGCCTCACGACGCCCACTCGCAGGCACACGCCCTTCAGCGCGGGGCAATTAGTGTTGGATAGGGCAGGGGAGACGGCGTGGCGCGCGCGCTTGCCCTTGCGAATGCCCCGGAGGACTTGGTTCAGTGTTGCGCCGCGCGCGGGCGTCGTTGAGAAGGGTGCTGGAGCCGCAGGGGCGGCGGAGCGGAAGATGGGTGTGAATCGGGTCGGTTTGAGCAGCGCCGAGGCGAGGGGGGAGGTGAGCGGTCGCCGGGTCGCCGGGGAGAAAAGCTGACGGACAATTGAACCGACCATTTTGGACGGGTTGGGCCGGTCAATGGCTTTGGGTGCGTGTTTGTTGGAGATGGGGGCGGGAGCTCGCGATGATGCAGAATGGAGGCTGGCCAAAATCTACGCCGTGGTCACGTGATGCCTTCTTTGCCTGTTTGCATGCCCGGGTTTTGCATGATGGGACATGATTACCGCAACACCTTGGTAAAATGAGGTTGCTGCGGCGCTACTCGATTTTTAATCTGCAAGGCTACATTTTCACCTGCAGGGAGCAGTGATCACAGTCTGTCTGACTCTCAGCACTGCTTCAAAGCCGGCTCGTGGAGCTTTGAAAACGCGCGTCTCGAGCCTCGACTCGCCGCTCGCCCTGGCTTCAGCTTGCAGGAGAAGTCTATACCATTCTTGTTGAATTCACCTTTGGTTGCCACGTGAAGCTCTTGCAAGGTCTTCTCTGAATCCTGCTGCGACAGCTGGAGCCCGCGCGGCAATGCATACATTCTCCGCGATAAGCGACATACGGTAGCCACTGGACAAGCTCGCGGAGAAGCTGCGCAAGCCCATCAAGGTCTTTTTTGCAGAGATGGAGATGGAAGGTATAGCACTGTCTTGGAATTGAGAACGACTCGATAGGGGGTTGACAGGTTCGGTGCTGGGATTCTAAGGGACAAACCTTCTTTCTAGCATGCCATGCTTGTCCATGAAGCGCAGAAGGTTCACATTAGTTAGCTCGTAGCTGTAATTAACCAGTGGAGAGCGGGCTTTGGCGAAAGAGTAAGCTGAAATCTGAAACATCAATCGATGGCAATGTTTTAATCCGGGGCTAATGGTAAATTTCATTACATATGCCCTTTGATCGATTTGTGAACCAGACACCGTAGAGCAATGGACCATTTATGCAGCCTATAAGTATGTAGGGCGAAACTAAGATATTATGAATAATGGCTAAGAAGGCGAGGACTTGTTTTCTTCCAGAGTGCGCATGGTAGTAGTAGCCACTGCAACGAGGGTCTGCGCGGCCAGCTCATTTTATTCATCTTTATTTTAATGGCTCGGAATCTTGAGCAGCCAGCGCCTGGTGCTAGCGAATGATGCTAGGAAACGCACTTGAAAAAACCATAATTTTCATCGAGAAGCTCTAGATTAGACAGACAAGATGAGGCTGGAAGCTGGAGGTCGGAAGTCAGAGGTTGGAGGTTGGAAGTGGGAAGTTGGAAGGTGAATTTGTAAGAGGCAATACTATTAGTATAATAGTAATCGTGCCTTGGAGACATACTTGTTACCAAAAATCCTATTAAGCCTCGACATATATAGTTATGGCTATGAGAGTCGCCATGTTATGGTTATACTAAGTACTTGGGTACATGTAGCTTTCTACAAAGCCAATTGCCCTCTTCTAGCACAAAATGACAGCCAACAACTTTAATCAATCAACCTCGCAAGCCCCACCCATCACATGCCCCAAATCTGTCCATGTCCCCCATTTCCCCAGTTTTGCCAACCATGAATCTCCACAATAGGCCGTGGTTATCCTCGGCTCAGCAGTCGTCGGCTCACCGGCCAGTCTGCTTGGTGGCAAGGTGTACGGGAGAAGCAGCGCAGCAAGTCCGACCAAAGCCACGGCTATTCCATATCGCAGCTATTTTATTATTATATTTTCCCCTTTCGTCTCACGATATTGCTGTGCATACAATTGATTCTGGGGAGTGCAAACGTTTCTTTCTGGGTGTAGTCTCATCTTGTTTGGCCGTCAATTTCCCTTTGAGAAACTGTTCTCTTTTCGGGTCGTGGGTTAGGGTATTCCATTGGCAGCCGCAACCGCCGCTACCGTCACCCTCCGCGCTTGCCTCCGGCCTTCACCGTTTCCCCTTCACCTCTCACCTACAAAACTCTCTTTTTTCCCCTTCGGTCTGTCCCCATTCCTTGCCTTCCAATTCACAATGTCTTCCTTCACGCGGGTTCTGCGCCCGGCCCTCCGGGGTTCAAGGGGTCTTGCTCAGACCGTCTGTACGTCTAGCCGCGTTGCTTCTCGTCCCGCTGCTGCTGCTCGCAACATGAACTTGTAAGTCGCACTTGGGATTCCTGCTTCATGTCGCCCATATTGTAACCGGAATCATGCACCCCGAAAGGAGCTTTCGAGCCGCTTAAATTCAAACCATGCTACCGTACTTGGAACTGTGGTCTTTCCTTTTGTACTAACAAGTAACAACGTAGGGCTCGCCCTCTCTCCACCACCTCGGCCCTACGCTCCGAAACCATTGACATCACTGATATCCCTCCCACGCCCATTAGCCACCTCTCCGAGGTTGAGGCCGCCATGGCCGAGTCGGTCAGCAAATTCGCCAGCGAGGTGATCCTCCCCAAGGCACGCGACATGGACGAGGCCGAGGACATGGACGCCTCCGTCGTGCAGCAGCTCTTCGAGCAGGGCCTCATGGGCGTCGAGATCCCCGAGGAGTACGGCGGCGCCGGCATGAACTTCACGTCTGCCATTATTGGCATCGAGGAGCTCGCCCGCGCCGACCCCAGTGTCAGCGTGCTGGTCGACGTGCACAACACGCTCTGCAACACCGCCGTCATCAAGTACGGCTCCGAGGCCCTCAAGAAGAAGTGGCTGCCCAAGCTGGCCACCAACACCGTCGCCTCCTTCTGCCTGTCCGAGCCCGTCTCGGGCTCCGACGCCTTCGCCTTGGCCACCCGCGCCGAGGAGACGGCCGACGGCTTCAAGATCAACGGTGGCAAGATGTGGATCACAAACTCCAAGGAGGCCGAGTTCTTCATCGTCTTTGCCAACCTCGACCCCAGCAAGGGCTACCGCGGCATCACCGCCTTTGTCGTCGAGAAGGGCACCCCCGGCTTCTCCATCGCCAAGAAGGAGAAGAAGCTCGGCATCCGCGCCAGCAGCACCTGCGTCCTCAGCTTCGACGACGTCGTCGTCCCCAAGGAGAACATCCTCGGCGAGCGCGGGCAGGGCTACAAGTACGCCATCAGCCTCCTCAACGAGGGCCGCATCGGCATCGCCGCCCAAATGACCGGCCTCGCGCTGGGGTCCTTCGAAAACGCCGTCAAGTACGTCTGGAACGACCGCAAGCAGTTCGGCTCCCTGGTCGGCGAGTTCCAGGGCATGCAGCACCAGATTGCCCAGTCCTACACCGAAATCGCCGCCGCCCGCGCCCTCGTCTACAACGCCGCTCGCAAGAAGGAGGCCGGCGAGGACTTTGTCAAGGACGCCGCCATGGCCAAGCTGTACGCCTCGCAGGTTGCCGGCCGCGTTTCCGGCCTGGCCGTCGAGTGGATGGGCGGCATGGGCTTCGTGCGCGAGGGCCTGGCCGAGAAGTTTTGGCGCGATAGCAAGATTGGTGCCATCTACGAGGGCACCAGCAACATTCAGCTCAACACTATTGCTAAGCTGCTGCAAAAGGAGTACACCAACTAGGGACGTCTAAACCTGTACAATGCAATGTAGGAAGGATACTTGGAAAAGAACAATATACAGTCATGGCATATTACTTGTAGCATAACGCCATCTTGAGCCAAAAAAGGAAAAAAAAATAATAAAAAAAATTTACACCCACCCTAGACCATGACGTGAAGCAAGTGATGATCCAAGGCAACCATCCCAAGATTCAAACACCGGGAGCACCAACACCTCAGTTTAGTGGATATCCACTGCATTAGAAGGCTTCTCTATTAATAATAGTCATCATCACTGATGCATTGTTATAATCTCCCCAGCTAAGCCGCCTCCTCGAAACTTTTGTGAACCCCTTCATCATCACTACCTCCTGCTGCTGCGGCTGCCTGCGGCTGCGGTCCCCCCCCCAAAATAAAATAATTACATCCACATAGCTTCACACGGGATGGAGCGTAGCGAGCGTGATATCAAACATGGCCTCTTTTATTTGCTTCCCAAAACTTTCGTTCGCATCGTTCACCTGTGCTTCTTCAGCTCACTGTCTCCGCCAAGGGTATGACAAACTCCGCAAAATGCACACACCATTGGCGCACCAAATCTACACCCAGTCAACATCACTTTCACATATCCTGATGGTTCGTTTCTCATTCAAAGTCTGCAGTGTACGAGAAGCCACGGAACTCCTCTTGCATAGCCTGAGAAAGTACTAATGACAGAGTTAGCGTTGAGAAAAAAAATTTAAATTTGATAGAATGCAAAAACACTCGACAAGTATGCATTATTGGCAACTTACCAGATTGTACAGGCGTAAGTACAGGAGTAACACTGGTGAACTCGGAGTCAAAGTTGCTCGTATCTGTTGCGCTCTTAATGGTCGGTTTGAAGGGCGGCGCAACTCGCTTGTAGTATATGTCGTCCCAGTTGATATTTCGGAAGAACGGCTGGCTCATCACTTCCTGGGCATCCGTGGGCCCACTTCCGAGTCTTTGCTCGGGTTCGCGGGTGAGCAGTTTCTGCAAGATGGAAACCGAGTCTCTGGGCATATGAATGGGGTATAAGGGCTCATCGGCAAGGATAGCATCGTAAATCTCGTCTTCATCCTCGCCTCGGAAAGGAGACTGTTGCAGGAGCATCTGGTATATGAGGACACCAAAGGCCCACCAATCAACCGCTCGGCCATACTTTTTGTCCAAGAGAATCTGCTGATCATTAGTTACTCGCCTCATGACACATAATCAGTCGCTCCTTTTACGCACCTCTGGGGCCATGAATTCAGGAGTACCACAGAAAGTGCTGGTAGTCTTGCCATACCACATGTCCTCCTTGCAAAGACCGTAATCAGCTACCTTGATGTGGCCGTCAAGGGTCAACATAATGTTGTCTAGCTTGAGATCACGATAAATAACCCCATTTTCGTGGAAATACTTTAGCGCCAGGCACACCTCAGCAGCATAAAACCTGCACACACATGTTAGAATCTTGCTCTTAAATAATAGCCTCTCGTCAACTTACTGAGCACGCTTAGTTCCAAACTGTCCTCGCTGAATGTGAAGCATCAAATCACCGCCGCTGACGTATTCCATGACAAAATATACGCGAGTCTCTGTTTGGAAGCATGCGTGCAAATTGGTAAGGAAGGGATGCCTTTCTTTGTTCGCAATGAGGAAGACTCGCTTCTCGGAGCGAATACTCTCAACTTCGTCATTCTCAATGATAAATTCCTTCTTCAGAACCTTGATAGCATATAATCGTCGCGACCGCTTCGTCTCTGCCAACATGACCTTGCCAAAATTGCCTTTACCCAAAACTGCAAGGAAATTGAAGTGATCCAAACCAATTCGCTGCCCAGTACCGGGATCTGTGGCAAGAGGCAGTTGCTTTGGCTGACCCGCAATAGGACCTGACTGCGGCCGATGAGCCACCACAACTTCGGGCTTCGGAACAGGGGCAGGGGGCTGATAGCTTTGTTGAGGTGGTGCAGGCTGCTGCTGGGGGGGTAGCTGCTGCACCGGCGGTCTGGCCTGAGTGGCTGGTTGGCCGGCATACCCAAGATAGTCGGCAGGGTTGTATGGTCGCTGCTGAGGTTGCTGAGGTTGCTGTGGCTGCTGGGGCTGGCCGCCATATTGCTGTGTATAGTGATCCTCGGGCTGTTCTTGGTCATACCCAACATATCGACCATAGTCAGACTGCCTTTGTTGCTGCGCTTGTGCTGCTGTTGTACCACCCAAAGCAGCTTGAGCCGCTTTCGCGGCCTGGGTCGAGGGCAAACGATCAGGTGCTGGCGGTCTTTGCTGCGTCGGTGATGTGGGCTGAGCATACATCAATTTGGCCGCTTCAGTGGCTGCAGTGGACGGGGCGGTATAGGGCTTAGACGCGTCGGTGGTGTATGACGGCGCCGGGGAAGCGGTAGACCCAGGTTTGCTAGAACTGGGACGCAGCGTCCTCTCCGACATGGACGACGCCTTTGTCTGACGTTTCTGTGTGCGAATGCCTTCCAAGATTTGGTTTGCTACCGCCATGGACATGCCGCAGAAATCGGGAACCAAATGAGCGCAATGAGCATGACAAGTTAGACCGCATTCTAAAAAACCCGTAATGTTAATAGCAAGTCCACTGGTGCAAATGGCAACACGAACGTATGCGACATCTTACCTGAGCACTTTCTGCAATTCTTCTTGCCAAAAGGCAAGATATAGCCACAGTGACAACACCAATTAGCTGTCATGTTGGAGAAGGGCTGGAATCTGTGAGGGATGCGGTGGTTGATCTTTTCTTCGTCTGGATCGGTCTCTGCGTTACTCTTGCTGATACACTTGGTGACCACCTTATCGTAGCATTTCGTATGGCATGTGTATTTGCAATCCTCGCATTGCATGCCAGCCGAGTACTTGAGAAAATCGCCGCAGAGCGCGCAGCGCATGATGTTGTAGAATTGATGCTGCACGAACTTGTGGCCATACATTTCGTGTACTTCTTCCTTGCGTTGTCGAACGGCGCCCTTTCTGCCCAGACCGAGATCCACGGGCCGCCGGTCCTTATTTTGCTTGACAAAGCTCATTTGAAGCTGAATTTGTCCAGTCGGCTCCAGGTTAAACCAAGCATCGATAGGACCCGTGTTGATCTGGGGCTGGGGAACATGAGGCGGAGGACCACCGCTGTAACCGCTGCTTTGATCGGCGCCGTGCCCCTGACTTCCAAATCCAGTCTGCGTCGGGCTCATGGGGAGATGGCCCGGAGGAGAGGAAGGCGTGCCCATTTGGTCGGCCGACACCCAACCGGAACTGTTCATCTCTGCCTCGATCCTCTTTCTGCGCATCTCCTCGACAATGTCAGAAATGCGAACCCACAGCAAGCCAATGGGCATCGGGTGCTCGCCGGGTTTGTCATAAACTGTGAGTTCGATTTCATTGGCCTTGTCAACGTCGATGGTATGGTACTCGGCGTCCCATCGGTCGGTTCGAGAGGTTTTTGTTCTGGCGACAACGGCATCTTCGACTTTGACTGCAACAAAGGTTTCGGGCCCACGGGAGAGACGGCCAGTAGCCGCATGATCCACGTCCTTGACAGCCATGACTCGAATGGAAAGCTGCCCGCTGAGAGGTTTCCGCAAATTCGGGGTATTAATGGAGTCATCTGTAGGTATTGTGTCAGCCGTTGATTTATTGTACTCTTTTTTTGTGACTATGGACCATCACATGGTAAAGGGGAAGGGGAAGGGAACCTACCATCCTGAGCGTCGGCTGAATCCATATCGATGTGCAGCTCCTCATACCTCTTAAGTGCCTGTTTCAAAAGGACAATCTTTTGCTTGCTTTCGACTCTACGACCTGCGGCAACGGCTTTGCTCCTTCTGTCGCCTTCCATACCGTAAAGCTGAACCATTTTCTCAACCCCCTTGAGGTATTGTTCCTCCACATTCAGCTTGAACTGAATCTGAGACAGCATAAGCTGGATACGAGGACCGAGATAGGGCGTATCATATTTGATCAGATCTATATATTGTTTTGGCGATGCGTCAGAGAGAATATCATGTCACGATTTGGGCGCTGCGGGGACGGCGGGGGGTATGTCTGTGTCGATTTGCCATTGGGGGCTGATGAGAGAATATATACGCACCTAGTTTTGTGAAATTTGGTCTGGATTTGGGCATGCCAGCTCCAGGCCCGGGAGGAGCATAAGGATGGCGAGGAGGCATCAAATCGCCATGTTGGCCACCCTGGCTGTACTGAGCAGTGCCGTAACCACCTTGGTCTCCTCCCCAAGCAGCTGAGGGGTCCTTGGGCGGGGGAGGAGGAGGGCCGCCATCGTCAGCACCAGCGCCAGCGCCGAGAGAGACATTGCCCATGTCCTGATTGACCTGTCGCATTTGGATATCTCTGAGCTTCTCCTCGAAGAACTGCAGATTCCGCCGGCCGTCTCTCAGTTGGGTGTCGAGTCGGGAACGAACGGCCTCATTGGTGGTCTGCGAGCGCATAGCCTGGGCGGCATTGATGATGTTTTTCTCGCGCTCAATCTTCTTGTAGATGTCTTGGATTTTCTTTTCGTCTTCGGTCATGGCGGGCAGTAGGTGTGGCGCGATGCGTTCGCGCTGGACGAGCAGTGGGAATGCAGCTTGGTGAAGGTCGAGGTCGAGGCTGGGGGACGTGGACGGTGGACGATGAGCCGCAGCCACCGCTAGCAAGCAACAATGCAGCGGGCGAAAAAAAAAGATGAAAAAAAGAGGGGACTGGCCTCGCAGCACCGGAGAGACGACCGATAGGTGATTTATAGGAAAACGATGGAGGGCTTCTCGACGGGAGGAGGTAATAATGAAGTCGGCGACGGCGGGCAGAAATGGGAGATGGAGCCCTGCCGAGATACCCACGAGTCCACGACACACGGCTCGAGATCAGAAGGGACGGGGTTTAAAAGCAGAAGTGGGTTGTTTTGTGGTGGTGGGAAAGATGTCGTCAGTGACGACGTGACGGGAGGGGCGGTTCAAGCACTTCCAGACTAATAAGGCAGCCAGCTTGGGGAGGCTCCATGTCCATGTCCGTGTTGACTTGTCAACTGGTCAACTGGCCAACTGCCCGCTCCCCTCCAACCCGGTGCAGTCTGGTGCTGCCAGGCTCAACAGCACAGCCGGTAGGACTTGTTGACTGTCCATGTCTGGTCAATATTGGCTCCGAGTGCCTGCTTTAGGTACCTAGCCTAGGCCTAGTAGGACCAGACAGATCAAGTGGGCACCGCCTGGGCTGTGCGGGCGGGCGGCGGGGGTGCAACTCGTCCTTCCACATCCACAGTCAACCATGTCCAGTTTCGTTGTTGATTGTTGTCTCAATGGTCTCATGTGCTGATCTGTTTCCATGTCGGGTGGTTTACAGCCCCGTTCAACTCAGCAGGATCCCTGTCCGACCTTGGGGTTGCGCGGTTGCTTCGACTTTACCAAGCTGCCAACAACCGACCTAGGTACTCGAGCATCATGGTATTGTAGGCAGTCGTTGCCATCCTCCTGCCACAACGGCCACGATAGCGACGCCCAAGTCCCCAGGTAGTAATACTAACATCACAGGCTCTTGCTCCGCTGCTTCTTTATCACCCCGTGAGAGCCATCCCGTGCCCCCAACGGCCCAACGGCTACCGTGCGTCCAATGCACTGTTTGAAACAGGCCAAAACCGGTCTCGGAAACGCGGTAGAGCTCCCAGGCTCAACTGATCCCTCGCCTCTGGGGACTAGAGTGTTTACGGAGTGCTGTACAGTTCAATATACACAACTACACACCAGACGCCTTCGTCACAAGCTTTTGCCCCGTTCAGTCCGTTGTTCCGTTTACAGTCAGACATGCCTTGCATGGCCGCGGCTGGACTTGACCTGCTGCCCAACGGCGGTGGTGCGCTTTGGAGTCTCATGCCGAAAATCCCCACCTGGCTCAAGTGTCAGATATCGCATTGATAGCAAAGGGCGAGTTGTGACGGGGCCAGAAATGCAGTAGCAGTAAAGTGTCGGACGAAGTCTCCAGCAAGGTATAGTTAATAGCTGTTGGCATCAACACCAAGTAGTACCAGCTAGCCCAGTATTACGAGATACCCAGTTGCCCATCGGAAACCAGACGCCGAAGGCTAGAGGGAAAGGGCTCCTTAATTCCTTACTATACATACGCAGTATATCTAGCAGATACAGATACAGATTCTGTAACAAGCCAATCAATGCGCCAGGCCTTTACCGCGCTTCCGCGTAACGACGATTTGTGCAGGAATCTTTGCAACGGCCTTTGCAGTGACGCCATGGGGGAGGTGAGCTCTCGGCAATTCCCCACGTGAGCGGTTCGTATTACAACTGAAACTTTAAGTGGAAGCGCGGATTTTGTGCCTTTCAAACGTTGCATTTCTCCAAGCTCACGGGGGTTTTGGTCAACGCACTGAGTAGGGGGGCAGTGCAGGGCTGTGAGGGAGTCAAGAATGCGCCACAACGCCCCCATTAATTCAAGGTTCCCACGTTGAGGGTCCATGTCGCGTCTGGTTATTTTTTGTCCTTCTGGAACCGTGCTCTTGGCTGCCAAGAAGACCCCTGATTTAGGACCCGGACTTGGGTGGAACCAAACTGAGGTAGGAGGCCTATTTTCGTAAAAAGGAAAAAAAAAAGAGGACATCTGCACTACCGAGACGTCATTGTTGGCTATGACGCAAGACGAGGATGCGAGAATGGGGGAAGGGCGATGACAAAGAACTTGACGACATCGTCCCTCGTCGTCCTGCTCGGGCAGAATGAGCCCATCGTCCGGATTTCACATTTTATTTCTAATGGCTTGCCAAATACTCATCAACACAGCGCTTGAGCTCACATGATGGCGATCCAACGCTGCAGACAGTGGGTTTCCAAGTGCTTCCAAGATCTTGTTTTTAATTGAGATTCCCCTCCGTCATATAGTACAATGTTCAGATATAGCACATAAAAAACAGCACAGAAGGCTAGGTATGCACGCTCTTTCAAATACATCATGTCCTTCTCACGAGCAGCATCACCGCACTGCCTGCCACCGCTGCTCCCATCGCCGCGCCTTGTAGTGCCAACGCAGAAGCGTCCTTCATCCGCAAGTCAACCCGCCTCTCGCTGACCAAGTCAGCCGCAGCAGCGCGCCAGCGAGCCGGGTCGGTGATGAACTCCTTCCAAGAAACCTCCGCCGACGGAGTAGTGGTAATCTCTGGCTCCGCGGGTGCCGCCGCCAACGATTCTTCCATCGGCCGGGGGACAGCCTCCTCCTCCTTCTTGGCTAGGGACAACTTGACAGCTTCGAGTTCGCCCCGAACCTCTTCCAACACGCGCTTCTCTTCCTCGACCACGCCCTTGACAAGGCGTCTTCGCCGCCAAGGCTCGGCAAAGAACTGCAGCACGACAAATAGGACAAAGTTCATGCCCATCAGGCCCCATGTGCCCCATGTACTTGCCCGTCGGATTCTGTCGCTCCAAATCTGCTCCTCGTGGTAGCGCTTCAGTATCCCCGCGTTGAGACGCTGGCTCAGGCTTTGCTCCTCGGCTTCAGCTTCTGTCAAAGCCTCCTGGGCGCCAGACACCTCTCCCTCTAAAACGTGGTCTGTCCTGTATAATTCTGTAAATCGCTCTAGATCGGCTGGAGACCAGGTGTCCTTTCGAGCGAGCAAGGTCGTGACTTCTCGTTGCGTGGTCGCTCGTTTCGTGTTGGACGTTTTGTACGCTTGACGCGCATTTCGAACCCTGGCATGTGCCTCGGCTAATTGCACTTCCAACGCATCATTCTCCCTCTTTATACCCTCGATGGAGGAGTACCCGGTGATGTCATTGAGAGTCTGCGAGGCTGTGAGGGCTCGTGCTTGAAGATTATCCATGGTCTGGCTGAACTTTTGACTCAGGTCGCTGCGGCGGCTGTCCGTTACTGAAGGTAGCTCTGCAGCTGATGAGTTGGGGCAGTTTGCGGACTTTGCCGGATCACGAGGGTTCGTTTCCGAGTCATTTTTTGGACTGGATAATGGCTCGGTCTGTTTCGGCGGGTCGTGCGAGGAGAAGAGCCGTGATTGTGAAAATATGCCTTGTGTGCTGCACTGCAGGTCGGTAGCCGTCCTCCTACTCAGCAAGCTCTGCCGTTGAGCTGTTTTCCTGGCGAAGACTATGGCGTCCTGCCGAAAGATACGCCGACTACCAGCCCAGGCTACTCGGCCCATTGGGCCGCCAAACGGCTGCATCACGCGCGGCTCTATCGAAATGCAGCACCGGATGGTGTTGTTTATCTGTTGATGTCACAGGAAGCAATTTTCAGGGCATTGAACTGTTCGGGCTTTGGTGTCCAGAATACGCCGGGGGCCAACGATCGCTTTCTGCCGTTCCAAAAACGCCCACCATCTCAGGGCATCGGTTCCTGACCGCCTTCGGGGAGAAACGGCTCAGGACCGAGCTTCGGCACAGCGGTTGCTGGCTGTCGCTAGAGTGCTAGCGGTGTGGACGGTCCTGCAGGGGACCGGCTTCAGTGGGGCCCGAACCTCCCGCAGCGACTCTCGGGGCCAGCCAACGCCCACGCCGCCCCTCCATGACGACATTCCGGGGCGGCGCTCCTTGCTCTCCAGAGGCACCAGGTGCACATGGCGAAGATGGACCAGTCACATAAGCCGCAAAAATCTTTCGAGGGCTCTTGTTCTGGTAGGAGATGAGTTTTTAATGGGTCTTGGTTCCTATCACTAACGGGCACAAGAGTACGTTTGGCATGTGTCTTATCAATTGATGTCCTTATCGGCCTCCTGAGGTCTTGGTTCCTCAACTCATTTCTTGCATCTTGATTTGACCCCTCCGAGCAATCTACGTGCCCCTCCTCGTTTGGCCCTTTGTCGACGCTCCGTCGAGCCTCCGATTTACGCGCAAGAGACTCACTGTGCCACGATATCTACGAATTCACAAATCAAAGAAGCCATTGACCTTCTTTGACCAATCGTCTCCTTCACAACCATCGCAATGGGCTCCGTCAACACCGAAACTCCGGCGCTCGCCACAAACCCCAAGTTCATCTTCTTTACTGATTTCGACGGCACCGTCACCACTGCCGACTCCAATGACTACATGACGGACAATCTTGGCTACGGTGCAGAAAAGCGCCGCCAGGGGAACAAGGATGTGTTGACGGGCAAGATGAACTTCCGCGACTCGTTCCAGGAGATGCTGGATAGCATCACCACCCCTTACAACGAATGCATCGACATCTTGCTGAAAAACATCACCCTTGACCCAGGGTTCAAGGAGTTTTACGATTGGTCGCGGGAGAATAACGTCCCCATTGTCATTCTGAGTGGCGGTATGACGCCCATCATCCGCGCCTTGCTGGACAAGTTACTGGGACCTGGCTGGGACATTCAAATTGTCAGCAACGACGTGCGGCCTAGAGAGGGCAAGACAATCAACGACAAGGGCGGGTGGAGAATTGAATTTCATGACGACAGGTAAGCTCGCGCCTGTGTAGAGATCCCTGAACGACGAGTTGATGAACTAAACTGATTGAACCAGCATTCACGGCCACGACAAGTCCATCGAGATCCGCAAGTACTCATCCTTGCCTAACCGTCCCACCATGTTTTACGCCGGTGATGGTGTATCGGATTTGTCTGCTGCCAAGGAAACCGATTTGCTTTTTGCAAAGGCTGGCAAAGGTGCTTAATTTCCAATAATACCGGCCTTGGAAAATAATTGCTAATGAAAAATTGATATTAGATCTTGTCACCTGGTGCGAGAACGAAAAGGTCCCTTTTGTCACGTTCAAAGACTGGACTAGCATTACCCAGACTGTTAAGGATATAGCAGCTGGGAAGATTACCGTTCAAGACGCTGCCAAGGGCCGGTTGTGAGCAACGCTCGACTTTGAGACACGTTTCGCCAAGTCGAAGAGAGAGAATAGACAAACAAAATATAGAACCTGCATGAAATTTGACGATTTTGTGGTCACGACGGTAAAGAAGGATAGAATTGTTTAGTTTTCAACTTGTGGAATGATTTTGAATTCAGCAGAGGCAGTTTCCTTGCGCAAAGATAATAGAATACCTAGATTTGTCACGTTTGTATTTGAGAATGATGGAACCATATAGATATCCAATACATGATCCGAAGGATCCAAAGTACATTAACAACGTCTTGTATGCCCAGTAATTATTCATCCCAAACATCTTTCACGTTGCAAAACCAACAAATCAAGCACAACTTTTCAGCATGGAGCCACGTCTTGGCAGCCGTCCGTAATGCCAGTTCTTAGTCTGACCTCTTCTCGTCAACTGGCATGGCATACCAGCACAGCAACATGACCACAAACAACCCGATAACAATCGGATGAAGCACATACGTCCCAACCGCCTGTGCCAGCATACCAGTGAAGAAGGGGGCGACGGCGCCTCCCAAGCTCCCGCAGGCACTAATCGTCCCCATGCCACTAAGTGCATCCCTATGGGACATGGCACGCATGAAGACTGCCGCCGAGCACGGATACACAGGGCCCAAGAGAAGGCCAACGATGGAAACCGCCACGGCGTTTCCAACAATGTTTGGAACGAGCCACACGAGTATCTGGAACGCAATCGCCCCAACGACCAGCCCGTAGACGAACCTCTTCTCGCCGATGCGCTGAGCAGGCCCCGAGAGGAAGAAGCGTCCTGCGGTGATGCCAGCCCAGAAGCCGGATGAGACGTAACCCACCGACGAGGGGTCGCCGTCGCGAACATTGATGAGGAAGGAAATCACCCAGCCGGAGATGGACACCTCGGCCCCCTGGTAGGCGAAGATGAAGATGGCACCGAGGAGCACCACGCGCAGCTTGAGGGCAGACATCATGCCCAGCAGAAACGTCCCGTCGGGCTGGGCCTCACGGGCTCTGGCGGCGGGACTCTGCTCCTTCTCAAACGACCAGAACGACCAGAGGGCCATGGCGAGAGACAGCAACACCACGCCGAGCGTGACGATGTAGTACCTGCTCCAGATGGCGCCGGCCACGGCCACGAGCGCAGTGGCCACCAGGGGCCCGGAGATGCCGCCGATGCCATACGTGCCGTGCAGGAGGCCCAGGACCAGCGTGCCGTTCTGCAGCGCGCCGCAGAAGGTATTCCCCACGGCGACATTGATGGCCAGCCCGAAGCCGACCAGGAAGAAGGCCAGGATGACGAGGACAAAGGGCCCCGTCGCCACGAGCGGCACGTACCCCAGGGCCATGCAGGCCTGCGACACGGCGAGCAGCCTTGCCCGGCCGAGCCTGGCTCGCATCGTGTCGAGGACCACGGCGGCGGCAACAAAGCCCAGCGCCTGGCCGACAAAGATGAGCGAGACGACGCCATACCCAATCTTGTAGTATCTGTATTTTGCGTATCCATCCGATACGTGGTCAGCGCGAAGATCCCCCGAGTAGAAGAATAGGAGAGGAGGGCACATACGTCTCCATGTAGGGAATCAAGGCACCGGCAGCGCTGTCGCTCAAGCCATCGCCCAGACTGCACAGGCATAAGGACAGCAGCCTGAAGCGGTTCATGGACGGATCCCACACGCTCATGACGGCATCTACTGCGTCCGCCGTGGGACCGGGCGAAGCAGGCCTGCGCATCTCCAAGTCGTCCGCGGCCGCCTCTGTGCGCGGCGTGTTGGGAATGGATTCGCCGCCGTGGCCGGGCGGACTGTGAAGCGCAATCGAGGCATTCTCCTGGGTTGGCGCCCCGGGATATGTTCTCTGGACCACTCTCCGGGGCGCGGTGAGGGGAGCGACGCTTTCCGAGTCTGCTGGGTGGGAAGCAGGCTGAAGCTCGACCAGGGACCGCAACATGGTCGCGTCCATGATGGCGCTGGTGTTGGCACGACAATTGTCGCAGTTTTTTATGTTTTTTTTTTTTTTCACTTACTATCCGGGATAATAAATAGACCAGGTCCAACTGCAGAAGTTGTCATTATATGATGGGCATTGGTTGAGCACTTGGGCTTTTGGAGAACAGAGTGCGATATACGGAGCAAGTAACCGGACTATCGACTGGTCAACCTATCTTGGCCCCCCCCCCCCCTTTGAGATCGTGACTAACAGGATCATTTCTAAGCACGCCGGAATAGCTAAGTTTGGGTGGTGCAATGTACTTTGGTGTATTCAGCGCACTGAGGAACACGGCCCATTAGCTGTTGCTGGATAGAGTCTCCGTCCGATTTTATTACATGATGGCTGCGGGCCGTGGTTCCAAGGGCGCCGGCTATCGGCGCCGGTTGAAGGCTCTGCGCGTCAGCTGGACAGAGAGAGCCGCTGGCCTGGACAGCTATTGATTGGAAATACGGAGTAGTAGGTTTTGGGTTAAAAAAAAGGCCCTCCTGGTCGCAGCGGATCGGACTGGCGGGCCGTTGCCGTACTTGTCGTCATGTGCTGCCGTTTAGCGAATTGTTGAGAAGTTTGGGTTGTGGTCATGACAGCAGAAGCAGCGTCGACTCTTGCGTCTCTAGTTTCTCTTGCTATAATGATCATATAATAGTTACACCGCATCCAATATTTGCCGTCGCTGGCATTATAATCAGGCCCAACTGCAAACATTGGGCAGCACCCCATCCAACAGAAGAGTCGTGGTATTGACCAACACCATTGGGACAGGACGGCCCAATAAGGAAATTCCGAAGAAACACGGAAGCAGAGCAGCCAAGATAAATAACGCCAGACAACTGGACCGGCGGATGTTGTCTGGTACATATAGCCCAGGGTTAGGCGCTAGTCATCTACTAGGTCGGCGGTTGGAAGCTACCCCTCAGCCCCTCAGTGCTCCCGTTGTGCAACATTCCGCTGGTGGACCCTACCACCGTGTTGGTCCACCAAAAGTTCAATTTTTTTTAATTTTTTTCGATTTTTTTAGTGTCTCACCACCAGACCTCGGTTTACATTCACTCATATAGCCACACAGTAAACACCGCAGCCATGGGCAAACCGAAGCGCAATGTGCTCGCCGCTGCCGAGGAGACTTTAACACCCCCAGCCACCCTCGATCCCAGTCAATCTGTCGTCCGCGTCGTCAAGCCCCAAGGAAACAACCTGTACACCTGCGAGTTGCCCAACCGCAAGACGGTGTTGCTCGAGCTTGCACAGCGCTTCCGCAATACCATCTGGATCAAACGGGGGGGCTATGTCTTGGGCGAGCGATATGAACAAGGCTCCGGGGATACCCGCGCTGATGGCGAGATTGTGAATGTAGTTCGAGACGAGAAGCTTTGGCGAAAGCAGCCATATTGGTACGAAGAGACGAGGCTGCTCGAGAGCCCTGGGAACCTGTGCGGCCACTGACAATGGTTTTCACATCATCTAGGCCCGAAGAATTCACCAAAAATACCCATGATCTCAGCGACGAAGACGACTCTACTGTTGGACAGATGCCGCCCAGCGATTCGGAAGAAGAATGAAGCCACGTCTGCAAATTTTGATTCATGACGTCTCCGCTGCTGAAGAAAGGCAACAACAACAATATCACCTATTCTTTTTTGAAGCCTTTGCTTTTTTCCGCTCCTCCGACCTGACGGGCTTCAAAGTGCCGAAATAGACCAGCACCACCGTTATCAGAAGCACGTTCACTACAGTTGTTGAGCTGAGGTCTGTGCTGGGAAAGGTATTCCACGCCGCTTCTTGAACTGCCCACAACAAGTAAACCACGGGGGTATACGGCCAAGCCTTCCACAGCAAATACGGCGTGGCCCAGGCCAGATACGCATAGAACTGGTAGTGCAACGACCTGGCAAAAAGCAGCCCGACAACATTGGCCGAGAGGATCGTGGTCATGATGTAGTCGGGGGTGACTCGGCCAGAAACTGCAAGTTCCTCTGCCGGAGTAAAAGGGGACCGGCCGCGAAGCATAGGAGAAATCAATGATACCAATGATCGACGAGCCGGCTGCAGCCACCGAGAAGTGACAAAGATCAAGAGTACCAGGGCGTGCAGGACAAGTAGAACCGTGGCAAACTGTTTACTGAGAAACAATTCTTCCCCCATCATGCGCCAATTGACGGTCCATTCAAACTTGAACTGCCTCGAGAGCTCAAACGCCCTGCCCAAATAACCCCGCCAATTCTTGGCCACGAATGGAAGCGCAATGACAAGCTGCACCTGGGCCATGAGCCACGCAAGCCGCAGACTCCCACCAAAGCCCCGGCCCAGGAACAGCACTATGCCGACAGCCGGCAGCGAGAGCAACAGTGACATCTTGATCCCCAGCCCCCAGCTGTACGCTATGCTGCCCATCGTCCACTGCCGCCTCTGGAAAAAGTATATAGCCAGCCACATGAAGAACGCGGCGAAGCAATCATTGAAGCATCGGAGAAGGAAAACGCTATGCAGCCGCTTGGACAGAATCAACAACGGGAAGATGTACGGCGGGACCTTGATGTTTCCGTTTAGTTTTGCAGTCGATTACAAAAAGAGGGAACGGAAAAGAAAGCACAGCTTGTCGTAGAGCTAAAACCCACCTTGGCCTTCCAGTAGCACAGCATAACCACAGCCAAAGTAGCCATGTAGAGCACCGCAAAAGTCTGCTGCGCCAGCAGAACATTCTTCCCACGATCCGTCAGGTAGTAAAGCCCCGTGTATACGTAGACGTGAGCAGCCGGATACACCAGCGGCCCCGTGCCTCCCTCCATCTTGGTATAGTCTCGTTCGCCGGCGACGAATTGCGCAACCTGCTCCATGTAGGCCACCCAGTCGATTTCGGTATCTGGCGCGGAACAAGGACGAGGAGGAAGAATCAGATAAGCTTGCCCGACGATGAGAAAGAGAGGGGAGGGGTTTCGTCTATGCGCTTTCACAACGTACATGGTACTTTCCAGATGACCAGGCCACAGAGCACGCCGTCTGCGAGCCACAGCACGAGGGGGACGAGCTTGGACAATGCATGGCGGCCGTTGGCGACGTCGAGCGCGAAGCGGAGGGCTTGCTTGTGCGGAGGCTCGTGAGGCGCCATTGTGCCGCTGGCGGAAGGCGGTTCCTGGGGTGAGGTTGGAGGAAGCACAGCAATTTATTGTCGTGCAGCTGCTCAGGATCGCGTGGCATTTAATTCGGGCGGTTGTTTGGAGCTTTGGGAACGGGGGCCGCTGATTGGCGGGCTAGGGATCGAATTGGGTCTGGTGGGATGAGTTGCACCATTACGGACTACAAGCTACATACAAGTAGTACTTGACCCCGTACTATGCAACATGATGCTCTGTAAAAAAAAAATCAATGGGGGAGAATAATACCGTGCAGAGTCACAGACCATTGTAGAACATATACTTGTTCGTGACGAGCTTAATTATCCCACGAGAAGAGCTTGGGCTCCGTCACTAGACTCTCCCCGTTCTCCTCTCTGATTGCGTTCACCAACTCGACCACGCCCTCGGCACATCCATACGAACCCTGATAACCCCAACCCGCGTGTCCGTAGTTGTGAACAATGTGAGTCCCATCGTCCAGCTTCCCTCTTTCTACCCGGACGCCCGTCTTCCTATACGGCCGCAAACCGGCACCGTGCCTGATGACGCTCAGGCCGTCGATGCCCTTGCCGCCCGCAATTTCGGGACACAATTCCACCACGCGACGCATTATGCGCAGCGCGATGTTGGGGTCCGGCACAGACTCCCAGTTGCCAATGTCATAGGTTCCCCCTAGAATGGTGCCACCACCCGCGGGGCGCTGCATCGTGTACAGGATCTCGGGGAGACCTTCTTCTGTGCCGGACGTGGTGATCATGGGGTGCAGTTCGTTGCGGACGAGGATGATCTGGCCCCGCGATGGAGCCATGGCCTGGTCCTCGACGCCGCCGAGCTTGAGGGAGCCCAGACCGGTCGTGTTCACAATGATGTCCGCGGGTTTGCCGGTATGGCTGTAGTTCTTGGCCTCGCGGATGTGTGATATGACGGCGCGTTTCAACACGACGCCGTTTTTGATGCACTGTCCTACTAGCCATTGGAGGTACATGGCCGTGTTGATACACACGCTGGTGAATTCGCAGCCGCTGTCGTGCCCGGCCGGGAGGCTTGCGGCGTCTAGTTCCTTATAATCCGGAAGGACAGACTGAAACCACGGGTCATGGTCAAACATGGGGTCCGACGGGCACGATGGGCCTTCCATGTCTTTGTCTCGTCTGAAAATGCGTGCCGCTAGTAGTAAAAAGAGTTTAGCAAATTAGGAATGACTTCCTCTTGTGGGAGCTTCATGTCTTTGTCTGACGCATGTGGCTTACTTTGGAAATGGATGCCAGCTTCAGGAACCTCTTCCGTGATCCGTTTTATTTCGGGCCAGGTTCGTCTCTCCCACCGGCTGTTCTCTCTAGTTGACATACTGTAGCAGTATCAGTACATAAAGGATACCATTATACCGTTTCGGCGCGTGATGATGGCTTGTGATGGGATAACTTGCAACTCACGGCAAAAAGTTTGCTCCCGCCCACGGAGACGCGTACTCAATATCATAGTCTCCAGGCATATGCTTCGCAATAATCGTCACCACGTTGGCGTTGCTCTTGGACAACAAGAGCGCCGTGGTGAGACCACTCACACCGGCGCTTTTTTTCTTGATTCAACATGTATTGCTCGTTGATATTATCACTCGGGGTTAGGAACTCCAGCTTACCCAACGACCACAATGGCATTTGTCATGTCTGTACTCTGTAAAGTTCGATGTGCTCAAAAGGTATCCCGATGGAGACAAAGGCGACGTCTTTTCCAGTAGGTTGCGAAGATTTCTGACCTAGTCGATAAAGGAGCTAGTCCTGGCATGAAGCCGATGTAACAAGATTGTCCAAGTCATTGACACGACGTCTGGATGACTGGGGAACATTGAATCGGGTCGCCGCGGGCATCATCCCCCGCATTGACGGACGGTCTGGTGGGTCAAAAACGGTTGATGTCCGCATTTCGGCTGAGGCATGACGCCTGGACATTTCCCATTTCGATCCCGACTATAGAGTGATTGATGTTGTTCTCAAGGAGAAGAGAGATACAAATAATCGTTGGCGGAATGCTGTATTCAGGAATTCGCGGTCACATTCCGTTGGGCGCATAAACCCTCGATTGTCTCTTACAACTACTAGGTTTAGGTTGTCATATGGTGTATTCGGGTTGGTCCAAGTCCTCACTCTTGTGGAGCGGGACGTGATTGTGTGACGACATAGAGTACCAGGCAAACTTGTGCATAAGACTCACATTTGCGTTCACGGCTCAGTCCTCACACAAAGGCGTGCTTTTATTTTATTTCATCTTATTTTAGAAAGTGACCGCATTGAAGCCGCAGGTCGTGTAGCGTCTGTGCGTCCAAGGACTGTCGGAACCGCTTGCAGCTCTGGGAGATTTGGTAATGCTGGTGAGAATGCTCCGGTGTGATTGTGCACTCCATAGACATACAAAAGTATCCACTGCTCTTGCGCACTCCTTTGAGGAGTCCGGGCTACATACGGGAGGCTGGTCAAATATCGGGCCATGACAACTCAAAAGACAGAAAAGAGGTTCCAGCCACCCTTGGAAGGCCTCCAAGCCACCATCAGTCAGTTGATGGTTTTTCGCAATCTCAGTACTCCGTAATGACCACTCTGCCCGTGCACCAGTCACGCGCTGAGCTTGACCTTGAGTTCAGGTAACGACGTTTGCGCTTCGATAAACCGCCTGTGTGAGTGCACAACTTACTGCGGCTGAGCAAACGCCAATCCTGTTTGCATCTCTAGAAAAGAAAAGCTCTGTTATGTCGACCGGGGTCTCGAAAGAATATGCTCCGAGAATACAGGAAATTATGCCTGGTTATGGTTCTACCAGCCTGGTGTTGTAGAGCAAAGCCCGTCTCGATCAATGGGCAGAAGCTGGCACTCCCAACCACCTCTTTGCTGGAGGAAGCCGTCCGCGTTCGCCTTCGATTTCCTCGCCGCAAAGCAGATGTGCACACAGAATTAGAAACGGCAAACGACACACAGCGTGCTGGGGGGGAACAGGTTTTGACTCAAGGTTATGCAACATCCCCGCCATGACGTCCTGGCCACCACGCCAACACCACTGGTGACCAGCTTGGCCAGCCACCAGAATTGACAAAGCCGCAAAAAGTGTCGAAGAGGCAGCCACTCACGGCGACGACAATGACGACACCTGATGGCAGCCAGGATCTTCCATGCTCGGGACGGTCAACTCCTCCCCTTCCCACTGGCCGTTGCATCTTGTTTTGTATCCGACTGTGCATAGAATGTGCAAGGAAGAAATAGAAAGGATAAAAATGAGAGACCCGTTAGCTGCGGGATTGCCAATACGACTCTGGGCTGGCCCCAAGTGTCCAATGGACAGTCTCTCGAAAACATCCCCGGGACCGATTTGGGTTGCTTGGAGATGGGCTCAGCTCCTTCATCCATGCAGACTTTGGCAAATTGATAAGAAAGAAGGGCGGATTGCTGCAATATTAG